GCACTCCCCCCATCATTCACTATGGTAAGATTTTTTGTGCAAAGGACGTCTTTTAGAGTAGCCATGCAGCTCTTTGCATTCTCTGAATTGGGGCCGCAATTTGTACTTGTGCGAATACAATTTTTTAAAGCTTCCCGGAAAAGCTTCATGTCATCGAAATGATCTTCACCATGCTGAAAGATTTGGATTCGCCGTAAATTAAATTAGGAGCCGCTGCCATTTCCCTTTGCCTTGCATCTTTCAGTGGAACCTGTCTTTTAACAGCTTGGAGATTAATTACTTTGTTTGGGAGGATCATTGAGATTGTCGAACACAGCATGCCTGAATCTCAGTAGCATCGTGGATATTCCACCTTGATGTTGTTTAATAAAGTTTTGTTTCTTTTCCAAAATGATATTTACTCTTTTGCGTCTTGCTGTAGGTTGTTGTTCTATTAGGGAAAAATGATGAACTTTACAGTAATATTTCAGAAGAAAATAAACATAATGCGGCACTCAAGAGACACGTGATAGGGGAGATTGGGTGCTGAGATTCAGTGATGCTTCCAGAAGTCATAGTGGACTGCTTGTTGGGCTGCTACATGCAAAGTCCACAGTACAAACCACCGGCAGCTCTGAGGGAAAAAGATGAGGCTTGCTACTATAAAGAGGTACAGTTTTGGAAACCAATAGGTGAGTCTGGTTTTTGGTTTTCCAGAATTCGAAGTCCATGCAGCCTCCGAAACCTAATGGAGTAGGTCTACTCTGTTCTACAAGGTTGCAGTGTGGTAGAAACAGATGGTAAACTTTTTAGGTGAAAAGTACATTACAGTACATAGATAGCCCAGTTAGCTTAGGTGTTTTATGACCAAGGCATGATAATAAAACAAATATGTCTTGGAAGATACAAAAGCAAACCAAACTCCCTGCCATCTGGTCAATGCCGATTCTTAGGACAGGGTAGACCTGCCCCTGTGAGTTTCCGAGGCTGTAATTTCACAGGAATAGAAAGCTCCTTCCCATGGAGCAAAAGGCGGTTTCAAACTGCTGACCTTGAGGTTCACAGACCAACACTTAGCTACTATACCCTCAGGGCTCCATATTTGGAATATATATGGCCACAATGCTCCTTAGAACTGAGGATGGCCCCCTTAACAGAAGGGTGGCAGGGAGACCAGCCAGTCAGGGTGAAGTATAGCACCGATGAAACATAAAACTTTCCTCTAGTTCTTCAATGCTTCCAACCACCACTCCCCACCCCCCTGCCGCCAAGCCCCACTATCATGATCCCAATTCTTCCTTACAAATCTGGCTAGAACAGAGGATGTACACTGGTACAGATAAGAACTGAAAACACAGGGAATCCAGGACAGATAAACCCTTCAGGACCAGTGGTGAGAGTGGCAATACCAGGAGGGTAAAAGGAAGGTGGGGTAAAGGGGAGAACCGATCTCAAGGATCTACATATAACCCCCTGCCTGGTGGAGGGAAACAGAAAAGTGGGTGAAGGGAGCCGTCGGAGAGTGGAAGACGTTGACAAAATAATTTATAAATTATCAACAGTTCTTGGGGTGGGGGGGTGGAAGGAGCGGGAAAAGGAGGACCTGATACCAAGGGCTGAAGTAGAAAGCAAATGTTTTGAGAATCATGATGGCAACAAATGTACAAATGCGCTTGACACAATGGATGGATATGTGGATTGTGATAAGAGTTATAGAAGCCCTCAATAAATTTTTTTTTAAAAAGTGAAGATGGCAAGGCTGTCATGTGCTTTGGACATGTTATCTGTAGAGACATCATGACTGGTAAAGTAAAAGGGCAACTAAAAAGAGGAAGACTTTCTTTTTTGATCATTTTATTGGGGGCTCATACAACTCTTATCATAATCCATACATCCATCCATCGTGTAAAGAACATTTGTTCATTCATTGCCCTCATTATTCTCAAAACATTTGCTCTCCACCTAAGCCCCTGGCATCAGCTCATTTTTCCCCCTCCCTCCCCACTCCATGAACCCTTGATAATTATTGTGTCATATCAAACACCGTCTGATGTCTCCCTTCACCCACTTTCCTGTTGTCCATCCCCAGGGAGAAGGTTATATGTAGATGCTTGTAATCAGTTCCCCCTTTCCACCCCACCCTTTCCGTATCTCACCACCACTCTCATCACTGGTCCTGAAGGGATCACCTGCCCTGGATTCCCTGTGTTTCCAGCTCCTCTCTGTACCAGTGTACATCTTCTGGTCTAGCCAGACTTGCAAGGTAGAATTGGGATCAATTCTACCTTGATAGTGGGGTGGGGAGGAAGCATTTAGGAACTAGAGGAAAGTTGTATGTTTCATCACTGCTACACTGCACCCTGGCTGGCTCGTCACCTCCCCGCGATCGCTTTGTAAGGGATGTACAGTTGCCTACAGATGGATTTTGGGTCCCCCAATCTGCACTTCCTCTCATTCACAATGATATGATTTTTTTGTTCTTTGATGCCTGATACCTGATCCCTTCGGCACCTCATCATCACACTGGCTGGTGTGCATCTTCCATGTGGGCTTTGTTGCTTCTGAGCTAGATGGCCGCTTATTTACCTTCAAGCCTTTAAGACCCCCAGATATTATACCTTTTGATAGCTGGGCACCATCAGCTTTTTTCACATTTGCTTATGCACACATTTGTCTTCAGCGATTGTATCGAGGAGGTGAGCACATAATGATATTTTTGTTCTTTGATGCTGATAACTGATCCCTTCAGCAACTTGTGATCACGCAGGCTGGAGTGCTTAGAGGAAGACTCTTGTGGCAGATTTTATGTCAACTTATACTGTGAAAGTGTCGGGGTAGAGTTCAATCTATTAATTACATCATAGCGTGATGATGCCTCCCTTAGGGCTGTGGTCTTTTAATGAAGCTGTAAAACTCTCTCTTGCACTTCACCTTCCTCCTTGCTGGGACTCTTTTGTCTACCCCCAGGGGTATCCCCATGAGGGTCACTTACATGGAGAGTAGTCTGCGCCCTGCCATATTTCCACTAACCTTGGATCCATGCAACTCTGCACCCATCTGCCTGTGATCTGCTTCCCACTTCACCTTTCTGCATCACCGCCCTGCAGCTGTGTGAGTCTGAAGAGGGCACATTGACAGGACTGGCGGGCTTGACTCGGATGCCTTGTTATAAAATCACTTCTTGATATAAATTTCTTTCTTATACATATAGGAGTATCACTGGCTTTGTTACTCTAGACAACCCAGCCTACCACAACCCTCAACACGATGTATTGTCACAGTGGCTGCCACAATGGGCTCAAACATAACAATTGTGAGGATGGCACAGGACCAGGCAGTGTTTTGTTCTGTTCTACATAGGACGGCTATTATGAGTTAAGACCAATTTGAGGGCACCTACCAATACATACTGAACCATTAGCTTTTTTTGCACATTGGGTTAAGCACTGGGTAGTTAACCAAAGCTCAGCAGTTTGCATCCACCAACCACTCCTCGGGAGAACGCTGAGGCTGTGTCCAGAAAGATTTTCAGCCTCCGGAATCTAGTGACGTCACTTGCTCTGGCCTCCAAGTTTGCTGCGTGTAGGAAACACTGTCTTTGGGAAAGAACAGACCCAGATGGAGGATATGTAGAGAAACAATAGCCTCATATTTTGATTTGTTAAACGGGTCTATGATCTTGTAACAATGTTTTCGTAGCTATAATTTTGTACTTTCTTTTGTATTGCATTCCAAGATCAGTCTCCCTTATATGTAAGTTTAAGGTTTGTAAAGTTAGGATTAGTCATCACTTTTTTAAACATTTTATTGTGAATTAGGTGAAACTTTACACTGGACAGATGTTTTACAACGAATAACTCATGCACACTTTATCTCACACATTGTAATCCCTTCAATGTAATATCACTAATTGCGCCAACTCCTTGTTTCCTGTTTCCATTCCTCCTTTCCTAACCTTTTTGAACTTTGTCGTTGGGTAAATATTGTTCTTTTGATAATAAATTGAGGTGTGCAATACCATACTAGTTACTATTCTGTTTGTATATCTTTTGGAATGTGGGTCACAGGGGTGAGTTCAATTCCAGACCTAACAAATGACAAAGGGGCATTGTGTTGGATGTCTTACCAGTCTCTATCTGACCCGTAAGCTTGGTCTCTTAGGATTTTGAATTTAGATCAACTTTTTCTCTTAGTGTATCTAAGACCTTCTAATGTGATGCCATTCAGAGCAGTTGGCAGAGACAGCCAGCTAGTTCTGGTTTCAGGGTTGTGGAGACTAATGTTTGTATGGCCCATTACACCATTGGACTAATTCTTTCCATGTTTTTCTGTTTTTACTACTCGTCTTTCTTCCAGACAGGAAGAGACCAATAGTTGCATCTTACACGGTTGCTCACAAGCTTTTCGGACTCCAGTTGCTACTCACCAAAGTAGGATGTAGAACACTCTTTGTAAACCACGTAATTCCAGTTCACCCTTGGTGCCCTCTGCTGCATTGGTCCTGATCCCCCAGGTCCAGCAACTCATTCTCTCAATGTATTTGGTTACATCTAAAACGTTTTCATAACTTTGCCCCCATGTGTACCACCACACTCAAGGGTATATTTGTAGCAAAGGCAAATGTGCATATATAAATATCCCATCACACCTACATATATGTGCCATTTGTTGTACTGTGGTGGTTTGTGTTTTGTTGTGATGCTGGAAGCTATGCCATCGCATATACCAGCAGGATCACCCAAAGCAAGCAACTTTCAGCAGTTGCAAACTTAAAACAGACTAGGACAGAAGAGGCTATCCACTTCAGAGGAATCATCCACTGAAAACCTTATGGATCGTATGGAGATATTCTCAGATACTGAAAACCTCATGAAGAAAAGCAGAACATCGTCATAGTGCCACAAGAGCTTCCTTCTCAAAGTAAAGTCAACTGTAACTTTGAGGTCTATCCTATTAGTTTAGCTACTCCCATTCCTGTTCCTAGATTCCATGTGTCATAGCCCCTTATCTCTTTAGCTGTATCTATGTCTATGCACATGCTCTGGTCTAGCCGCAGTGAAAGGCAGGACTGGGGTCAGGCTAGTGGGGGGCGAGGAAGCCTCAAGGAACCAGAGGAATATTGTGTCTCATTGGTGCTATACTGCACCCTGGTTGACATATCCTTGTGACCCTTCTGTGAGTGGATGTCCCATTGTCTACAGATGGGTTTTGGGTCTCTGTTCTGACCTCCCCTCACTGTCGACAGTATGTTTTTTGTTTGTTTTGAGTCTTCTGATGCCTGTTACCTGATTCCATTGACACCTACTGATCACACAGGTTGGTATACTTCTTAAAATGACTCTTTTGATAGCAAAAAATATAGTAAAACAATTACCCCCCAAAGAATCAATTTTCATGTACCATTTCTCCCAACAATCACATCTAAATTAAGAAAATATCACATCCTAATTATTTCAAGTAGGGGGAAAAAGTATTTAGGAGCACTGTGTCAGGAACCTTAACTGTTGGATGTCATCAAGTCAAATTGGACTAATAGCCACCCTATGAGAAAGAAGAACTGCCCCATTGTTTTCTAGCCTGGGTGGGTTCAATTATCTGTAGGTTAGCAGTTGATTTAGCTATTGCACCACTAAGGCTCCTTAAAAAATATATGCATGTGTATTATGTTTTAGATTATTCAAAAGGCTAGAAGCCCTGATGTTGTAATGGTTAAGCAATTGGCTACTAACTGAAAGGATAGTTTCAAACTCACCACCAGCCACTTGACAGGAAAAACATGGCAGTCTATGTCCATAAAGATTGGAAACGATCTGGGGCAGTCAGATGTGGTTGAGTCAGAATTGATAGAAGTCACTGAGCTCTGGGAATGTAAAGCTTACACGTGGCTGGCAATTCATACTCAGTGGCTCTACCGGAGGACTTGGTAATGTGCTCCTGTAATTACAGCCTCAAAAACCCTGGGGGCAATTCTATTCTATCACATTGGATCACTGATGAGTCAGAAGCGATTTTACAGTCCTACTAATAACAGCTTGATAAAGTGTATTTCAGGTGACCAGACGTACATGTAGCTCAAATTCCGGTAACAAGAAATTGCCACTTCTTTGGAGAAGCTAGAATGAAAAGAGAAGGCAGGTAGGAAGGAATCCTCCCCTTTATAGAACACGGTTTCTGTCACACACGATTTAGGTCATATTAGAAGGTTCTCCTCCAGGAGAAATACTTGAGAGATCTGCTCCCTAATAATTACAACTTAGAAAATCCCAAAGGGCAGTTCTATCACGAGTTGAAACTGCCTCAAGGGTACTAATCTCTAACAGAATGTGATAGATAGTATTTCCAAAACATTTGGCAATATATAAATCCCCAAAGCATTTCAGGAACACTTCTAGGTATTTATAGGAACACTTTTTTGTAAACACTGCTTTACAAATTTAAAAACTCATCCTCTAAAAGTTAATTTTTGTGAAAATAATCTATGGGCTGATTTATATCTTCCAAAGGATGTTTTGAAACCTTAGCCCCTAGTACCAGTGAATATGACTTTATTTGGAAACAGCATTTTTGCACATTAGTTAACATGAGCTTATATAAACACGACCATCTGTTTAATTTGTCCATTTTTGTTATAAAACATCAGTAAGTGTATGTAATGTTACAAAGACGAATAAATATAGAATTTATAGAGACTGCTAAGAAAAGGTAACAATAAAAGAAACAAAAGTTGTTTGACTTGTGTTGGGAACCAACTTCCAATGGAGTTGGTCAGACAGAACCTTGTTCTTAAGATGACTGGTGCCCTTATAAACACACACACACACACACACACACACACACACACACGGAATGCCATGTGATGACAGAGGCAGAAATTGGAACAATGCATTCATAAACCATGAACACCAAGGATTGCGAGAAACAAGCAGAGGCTGGGAAAAAGGAAGATTATCCTTCAGTCTTCAGAAAGAATCAGGTCGAACAGCCTGATCTCAAATTCCTGCATTCCACAATTGTAAAAGAATGAAATTTTAAGCTAACCTAGTTCAAAACCACCAGCTGCTCCAAGGAAGAAAGACAGGGTTATCTACTCCCCTCAAGAGTTATAGTCTCAGAAATTCAGAAGGACGGTTCTAACCTGCCCTGTGGGGCTATGAGTTGGCATTGAATTGACGGTAATAAGTTTTGGGCGCAGTGTATGTTATTTTATTATAGCACTCTCAGGAGAAATCAGTACAGAATTATCCCCTAAGATGCTTTACATTCAAATGTTTTAGGTTTAAAAAATTTTTTTTTCACCTCACAGTATCTTCTTTTTGGTCTAAAGTCAATAGTGTGTGTGTGTGTGTGTGTGTGTGTGAGAGAGAGAGAGAGAGAGAGAGAGAGAAATCTCCAAACAAATTAGATCAGTGTTTCCATGGGTGGCCATGGAAACCTCGAGGGGCACTGCAAAAGCATGCACTTATACTTTATGCTCAATTATAGGCCACAGTATAATTTTTAATTGTTGGGAGGTGGCAGGGTGCTGAGTAATTTTTTTCTGAAAAGGGGACATTAGGCCAAATAAATTTGTAAACCTATTAATTAGATGGTTGATTTCTTTGAAGTTTTAAGGTCAAACAGTGGTTATCACCCAAGATTCACATTAAAATCACCACAGGGACCTTTAACAAGATTTTTTGGGGAGGGGACTGAGTACTGACTACTGTTTTAATAGTGCCCAGGTGATTCTAAGATGCAATGGGGTAGAACACACTAGAGTTTTAAGTATGAGACCCACAATAGGTCTAATTAAATGAAAGATTTAAAAAATTAACTTAAGGACTGCTGGTAATGGTTTCAAGTGTCAAATGAAAAAAAAATCAACTAGATTTTATTTAGATAAACCTCCAAGACGTTAAGAAAAATATTTACATTAAGATAAGCAAAATTGAGTATGCAACAGTATAAGAATGACTTTAAAATGTACTAATGTAGTTAATGGACTTTAAAATTTTATAGGTAGACTATTTTCCTTTTTTTTATGTCAATTAACCCATGATAATACATGCTGGATATATATGTTAGAGCCAGTCATTACTGAAAGAAAAGAAATCACTAAATCTCTTAGAAACAAAATCAAAGATTCACAAACTATGGCATTTTATTTCAGCGCCTTTGCTTACATTTGTACAATATATTACATAATTCTCCATTGATTGCAGATTCTAATATATACTTTATAGCTTTTATTCTATAAGCCTTTTCTTCAATGTTTTGTTGTCAACAAATCTTTACAGTCCTGTACAAATTTGAGCAACTTGAAACCATTTTCAACAAAATTAGTTACTGTAAGCACACATTACAAGACTGAAAATGCTTTACCTAGAAAAGTTGAATGTAAAGTATTCTGACACATCAGCATCTACAACAAAACGTTTTGAAATTCTCACATTGTATTGCCAGGAAAAAAAAACAAAAACAAAACTAACAAAAACATGCCAGCCCCATCCAAAAAAGTACACAGAATTACAATTAAAACAGTAAAACAGTCTGTACAATAAAGTACTGTGTATTAACAGTGCCAGGTATTAAATAGCTTGAATGAACACATCCGCAATATACAAATGTCTTACAAAGGTGTAGAATTAAATACAAGTGCCAACAGAACAGAGATTGGAACCATACAACATAAAGTCAATACAAGTGAAAGCAATTTTATGTTCATTTTGAATTTTATACAAAGCTTTTAATTTTTGAGGTCTACCAATCCAGATTAACTATTTATATTTAAAATAAAAAGTATCTTTTTGAGATAGTTCTTTATCAACAACCTTGAACCATACTTGTTCCTGACGTCCTCTCATTGTAGAGATCATAATAAAATAATCAATACAAATGAATTATCTGCATTTAAAGAAAAAGAAACATTTACAAGGAAACACAAAAATATAACTGTTATAATTCATTATGAATAAATATACACTTTGAACTGGCTAAGTATAATCTTTATACATTGCTTAAGATTTAATACAGTTTGCCATTTTCTTTTTTCCCCACACAATGTATTATATCAAAATTAAAAAAAAATACTGATTCATAGAAAAGTGGCAAAGTACAGTAGTTCCATTCCAATTTGAAGGGGCATGTAAAGCCACTGCAAGACCATTTAGCCTAATTCAAACCTGTAAACATGTTCAATCTTTTAAAAAGAGAATCTTAAATATTTGGTTACCAGGATTGATGTCTGATATCCTGTTAACTGCAGGTTTAGAATTTATCAGATGTGCTTGACTTATACAATTAAAGCCACTTTAGGGTGACTTGCTTTAAAAAACAATTCACTTGTACAAATGAAAATAGGTTCATATTTTTTTTCATAAATAAATGGAAAAATATCAAATGTTCCAGCTTTAACAAAATACATGGGAATACATATACAGTAAGTTATCTTACCATGTTCTGGCCCACCCAATAACTATGCTTACTGTATTTTCTCTACAGGCAGTGAAAAGCCTCCATTTGCCACAGTGGAAGGCCTTCAAGTTACCAGACATACAATTCCCAGACAAGTTGGAAACAATTATTGCTGAGGAAAAGCAGTTCATTGTACTTTTTCTTCATAAAAAAAGTGCACTTAAGTGCCAAGTCAGCATGTCAAGAAACAATTTTAAATATAAAATAGTGCTTGTCTGATTTTGTGTGTGTGTGTGTGCCACTGTGCAGTATAAAAAAGACGTGGCCCTCAACAGCCATTAAGTGCAAAGTGCATTGGCAAGTCCTGCTGTCACCTGCACTCAACTGACATTCCATTTTGTGATGCACTGGACATTGACGGTTCAGCTAAAGTTAACATAACAGCAGCTGTTATGGAACTGGATGAAGGCGAAGATGAGGATGAGGATGTAGCAGCACCTAAGGAAAAAGGAAATCAAAAGCTTAATAAAATGGATCTCCAACAACAAAAATAAAACACTATTTTTAGTTTATGCAATAAACTGCAATAATTCTGTGGCATTTTCCAGAATTATCTAGCTTTACAATAAGATACTCAATACCCTCCGTATCAAGATGCAAGGGAGGGAAACCTAGCTTGCCTCAAACAGCCTGACAGTGCCACACTACAGTTGAGGGGATGAAAAAGGGTGCTAGACAAGGACTCACGCATGGATTAAGGGAAAAAAAGGAAAAGAATTGTATCTGGCTTTATATAGACAGGGACATAAAATATCAACTAGAATACTTCAAATAATTTTTCTTCCTAATTATCTTTCTTCAGTGTTTGAATTATTGTTAAAAATTTAATATTTATGAAAAGAACAGAAACTGATTGCTTCTTAAACTGGAAAAAAACCAAAAAGTACTGTATACGCTCCTGTATAAGCTGAGTTTTTTTCAGCACATTTTTAATGTAGTTTTTGTGGTAAAATTAGGTGTGTCGACTGATTTTTGGGTCAGCTTATACTCGAATATATACAGTACTCTCATTCTCCAAAGCAAATGTCGTAACAAGGGCTTCAAACAGTTCATGGAAAAATAGAGTTAAAAGATAAAAATTTTCAACAACTTCTTGAAGTTCCCTTGTGTTAGTTACATTAGTTATTTTCCTCAGTGTTAAAATTTCAATGGTATCAGCCTTACTCTAAATATGGGATGGTGCAGGACTAGGCAGTGCTTCGTTCTGTTGTACACAGGGTAGCTGTGGGTCAAAACCGACTTGACGGAAGCTAACAACATCAGTGTTTTGGAGGACTGGGGATTTAAAAAATACATAAGGAACATAAAAGCATTCATTTGAATCAGAGGCATAAAGTAGAAAAGCAAGTCTTCTGCTATTTTCCCATGTTCCCCTCCTCACCACTGTTATCAGCTGCTTTAGACTCCAAAATTCTACAATACTTACCCATTACTATTGAGTCAATTCTGACTCATAGACCCTACATAGGAATTGCAGAGGAGAGAAACTGGAAGATTTGACCCATAAATCTTGCAGTTAGCAGCCCAACACCTAACCCATAGTGCCTTCCAAAACTTTACAATAGGGGTGGCAAATTATGACTCTGGGGACAAATCTATGGCGAAAATAAGGCTTCACTTATTGTTGGAAATTAAACAGCCACGCCAAATTTTCAGACACTGCCTATATGATATTTTACAAGGAAGATGGAAAAATTTAGTAGGTTCCAGAGAGATTATATTACCCGAAAGGCTGAACTTATTCTCTGTTGCTTTACAAAAAAAAAAAAAAATGATTGTAACCTTTCTTCTAGAAGACTCTAAAATAGAGATATTTTATATGTGAAATTTTAAGAAGCAGTTAAAAAAATAAATGAAAGAAAAAACTACCTGACAATTTTTGGGGGTATTTTTCATGTATCTTGAGATTATAGGTCTACCTCATTTTTTTTCCTCTAAAGTTGAACAGTATTCTTAGTTAATACCAAGTCTTTGGTGTTACCAACAACATATACAATAAATGTTTCATATATTACAAATGAAAACTTAAATGTTTATTTTACTTTGTATCAAGGCAATTCATAATTCAATTTAACAATTTTTGTCTGCTATAATAAGTATCATCTTAACAAATCTCTTTGTAGCTACATTATTTTTCCTTAGGATCTATTCTTAGTACTGGAACTATCTACTTCTCCACGTAGCCAAGGTGCTTTTTGAAAGATAGCTGCACCAATGATTTCAGTTATGTACAAAGGTATGAATTTTGCTACCTATTTTCCTCCCAATGGTTTTTTGCTTGTGATTTTCTTTTCTGTGAAAAATGATACCTTGATGTGTATTTATTTGATAACCAGATGAGCATCTTCCTGTTGATTATTTTAATAGCACTTATTCATTTATGAACTAGGTTTCAATGGTGACTCGCCAGAAAAGAACCTAGTGAGCAGAATCATTCACTGTAGAGTATTTGTGGTGACCAGACCTAAAAAACACTGTTTTGAAGGAACTATTTCTAGGCAGATGTTTACATAGAAAATTCCACTAAAAAACAACTTAAAAAGTGAGAAGTGCTTTAATAAAAACTTGTAAGCAGTATGCTAATCATAGTGAATTTTAATCGTTAAAAAATGACTGCATGATATTAATCACATGAAACCCATTCCTTTCCTTTGACTAATAAGCCTATATATACTTTCTATATATTAACATTAAATTTCATCTTAGATACTGTATAACCTAGACACAACTATCCACCCACCTGAAATTAAAAAACATAAAACAAAGAAGGAGTTAAAGCGGTACCAGCAGAATAAAAAGTCAGAAAATTGGTCTGAAGGAAAAGAAAATGAAAGAATGGAGCTTTAAGGAAGGTCCCCAACTCACCGCGATCGAGTTGATTCTGACTCATAAAGACCTATAAGGCAGCACACACAGTCTCATCTTTATGCTATGGAGCAGCTTGAGCTACGCGTTGCTGGCCTTGCGGAGTAAGCAACCAAACTAACCCACTACATCACCAGGACTCCTGGCCAAAGTGAAAAACAAAGAGGGACTTTGCCTCACTTTCTCATTTTTCTACTCATTTTCACAGCAAAACTGAGTACTTCTTTAGGGTCACAGTCTTTACTTCCTCACCCCTTACTCTCTCCTCAGCCAACCTCAACTGAGCTATTGTCTCTTATTACTCACGGAAAAAGCTCTTGAAGAGGTTGCTAATTGACTCCAATATGGTTAGGTCCATCAACTACTTCAATTCTCTAATCTCTCACCCTCATTGCACAAAGAAAATCTTTCCTCATCCCCAGACGATTTAATTCCTTGTCCATCCTTGAAAGGTTTTCCTCTAAGTGCAGGGCCATTTAAGTATAGAAGATTCTATCTTCTCCTCAGGCCTACCGTAAATGTGGTTTGTTACAGCGTTTGTCTTCTTTTCTTGTTCCTTTTCTAAATAATTTTTATATCGTTTTATTATGAACTCATACAACTCTTATCACAATCCATACATACATCAACTGTGTAAAGCACATTTGTACATTCATTGCCCTCATCATTCTCAAAACATTTGCTCTCTACTTAAGCCCCTGGTATCAGCTCATTTTTTCCATTCCCTCCCCGCTCCCCGCTCCCTCATGAACCCTTGATAATTTATAAATCATTATTTTGTCATATCTTGCCCAGTCTGACGTCTCCCTTCACCCACTTTTCTATTGTCTCCCCCAGGGAGAAGGTTATATGTAGATCCTTGTAATCGGTTGCCCCTTTCCAGCCTACTCTCCCTCTACCCTCCCAGTATCGCCACTCACACCACTGGTCCTGAAGGGATCATCCTCCCTGGATTCCCTGTGTTTCCAGTTCCTATCTGTACCAGTGTACATCCTCTGGTCTAGCCAGACTTGCAAGGTAGAATTGGGATCCTGATAGTGGGGGGTGGGGTGAGGAAGCATTTAGGAACTAGAGGAAAGCTGTATTTTTCATCGTTGCTACATTGTACCCTGACTGGCTCGTCTTCATCTAAATAATTTCTACTCTAGTACAGTGGTTTTAAAAATAATTCCAGTAACTACTGTACTAAAAGGAGCCTTGGTTTCATAGTAGGCTAAGCACTGAGCTGTTGTTCAAATCCATCAGCCAGCCACTCCTCAGGAGAAAAACGAGGTTGTGTATTCCCGTAACGATTTACACTCTTAGAAAACTCAAAGATTTTACTAGTCCTATAGGCTTACTATGAGTAAGAATTGATCTGATGGCACTGAGTGAAACTATATTATAGATATGACAACTTGTAAATGATTTCTAGTCCTGACTTATCTTCTGAGTTACAAATTTATACCCTACTATATACTTGATAATCCTATTTGGAGACCTAAACAGACATTTCAAAACTTAAGATGGCTAAACAAAATTATGGATTCTTGTCATGCTCCTCAACTCAGAATGTTTTTCCTCCATATATGAAAATGGCATAATGATGATTCCACCTAAAAGTTAGAAGTTATCTTAAATTTATCTATCACATCTAAATCATAGCAAGTGTTTCTAATTATTAATAATATTATTTTAAAGATAATTTTATTGGGGCTCTTACAGCTCTTATAACACTCTATACATCAGTTTTATCAAGCATATTTGTACTGTGGCAGTTACATAATCTCCTGTCAACTTGAAAAGGGGTGGAGCCTAGCCTGTCAATCAGGTCACCACTTGATGACCTCATTTGGAGGCACAAAGGAGATAAATAGCTCACTGGATGCCAGACACACACAAAGCCACATGGAGCTATGCTAGAGCCCTGGAGCTGGAGGAGCCACGTGGAAACCCCTGCCAGGGCTGAGATGCTTCCACTCCCACTGGGATCCATAAAACTTTCCACCCACGGGCCTGTGATCTTCCTGCATTCGGCATCATTGCATGTTTTGCATGAGTCTGAAGAGGAATTTATAGATTGGTATCAGACATATGGGCTAATATCAGACTTAAGGACTTGATCTGGACTGGGCTGAGATGTATCCTCAATATACAATTACTCTGATAAAAAGTTCTCTCTTACACATAAGTATGTCTATCAGTTTGTTTTTCTAGTCCACCCAGACGAATATATGTATGTATTTTGCCATCATTCTTTTCTTTTTCTTTGCTTTTAAAAAAATTTTTTTTCTTTACTTTTTAAACCATCATTATTTCCTATACATTTAACTTCTATTTGAGCCCTTAAGTGTCATTAATTATTATTCTTCATCTTTACTGTAAACCATTATTATTTCCCATCTAAACCACTCCAAAAGGGCTCCCTAATTGGTATCACTGTATCCACTGCCTATCTAGAGTTGACTTTCTAAAGTGTGGTGATCTTTAAAATAGATTGTGTCATTACCTTGACCTTGTTTAAGGATTTCAAATATCTGTCATTATACTTAGAATAAAATGGAAATCGTCATCCCAGTCTATGAGGGGCCATGAGTTGGTCTCTGCTTATCTGATATTTCTACCACAATAGCATTTCACTATCTGAAATTATCTTATTAAAGTCTGTTTTTGTTTTGGAAACAATATGCTCTATGAAAGTAAACACTATAGTTTGAGTTAGTAGTCTTAAAGATAATGTTTCAAGAGTCTATAACAGTGGTTCTCACCTGTGGGTCGTGACCCCTTGGGGGGCAGGGGGTGTCGAACAACCCTTTCACAGGGGTCGCCCGATTAATAAAAGTAGCAAAATTACATTTATGAAGTAGCAACAAATATAATGTTATGGTTGGGTGTCATCACAACATGACAAACTGTATTAAAGGGCTGTGGCATTAGGAAGGTGAGAACCACTGGTCTATAACAAGGTGAGCAAATACAGAGAAACGTGATTTTGTACGTACTGAGCACTAACATTTATTGACTGATTAAGTACCAGACATTACTGAAGGAAAACTGCAAGATCTCTTTTACTTATGACATTAACTTGAGGCAGATGTGGTTCTTTTTCCTCCCCATTTGATAGATGAAAATAGGCAGAGATTACAGAACTTGCTTGAAGATGCAGATGTAAACCTATATTAATCTAACGGCTATCATAAACTCAGGTTTGTGTTTAAGTAAAGAAAAATACTTACTTTCTCTTTCTTTCTTCTTTAAACGTTTTCTCCTGCGATCAATGGAAGCTACTTCAGATTTTAATGAAAGATAATGCTTTCTAATTTCCTGTAGTTTTTCTTGAAGAATAGTGATGCGCTCAGCACTTGTCATATTTTCCAGATCCGCTATAAATTGGAAAGTTTCATTACTAGATATTTTTGAATAAAAAAATTATTTAAACAAGAAAACATACAGTGAGATTGTAGAGGAAAGTGAAGGAAGATAAAACTAGAAAAAAAAAAACCCAAACCCAAGGCTTCCACAGATCTGCTAAGATTTTTCTCTTTCCCAATGTAAGACATTGTTTGGTATATATACATTATGTGGATAGATTTGTTGAATCACTAACTCAATGAATATGTGCAGAATAGAAGGCCTTATGACCTGAACACTGTGTGCCAAAAATTTCACACTGATAAGCAGCATAACCCCGTAAACCATTTTAGAATAAGATTAGAAAAACACTAACATTTTAAATTGTACATATTTTTTAGTAATGGGATATGAATCAATTTTATCCTTAGTTAACTATTTAATTTTACAGTGTTGAAAAATACAAGAGGGTACCCCAAAAAAACCAAAATGTTTTTCAATAAATTTTTAAAAATAAAACCACCTATCACCTTCAAAGTACTCTCCATTACACTTAATACATTTGTCAAATCTGCTATTCCATTTTTGGAAACCTTTTTCAAACTCCTCTGTTTGGATGGTTGACAGCACCTCCCTCGTTTTTTCTTCATCTCTTCTACCTCTTCAAATCACTGTTCTTTCATGTCCCTCTTCATTCGCGGAAACAAAGAGAAGACTCCGAGTGAGGTCAGGTGAGTAAGGTGCATCGGGGAAGAGAAGCATGCTGTTTTTTGCCCAAATCTGGTGCACTGAGATGGCTGTTAGCAGGTGCATTGTCGTGGTGGCAAAACTAGTGCCTACGTGCCACTAATCAGGCCTTTTTGTCGCATACACAGTTACACAATCTTTTCACAATCTCTAAATAGATAGCTTGATTAACAGTCTGACCTGGTGGAATGAACTCCAAACTTAAACATTTTCGTCCATTTGGGAAGTGGACGGACGTCCAAGAACGAGGTTTGTCATCAATCACATTTCACCTTTTTTGAAATGAGAAAACCACTTGTACACTTGAGTTTTTCCCATAGTGCTGTTCTTGTAAGCTATGTTCAACATCACAAGTTTCTGCAGCATTTTTCCTGAGCAGGAAACAAAATTTCATAGCCCCACACTATTCTCTTAAATCGGCCATCACAAAAAATGAGGTTCCAGTGAAACTGCTTTTACGAAAAAATTCACTGTGACCAGAGAGAACCTTTCCTGGCGATGCCACTGGGTATACTAACCCAAGAGAGAGTTGCTGGATGCTCTTGCTTGATGCTTGCCTAGCGGGAAAAATACGTACTAAGAAAGCTCTGCCCAACAGAGATTTTTCCCGTTTTTTTGGAGTACCCCCTTGTGTACAACACAGCTAACAATGTTCATTGGTGGTCAGCAGGGAAGGAAATCACTTACTAGATATTAGACATATAATTTTTGGTGATGGGAACTTCAGCACCAAATGTGCATGATGTATGTATAGCTTGTCCAAAGTAAACAATCATTAAAATAAAAAAACAAAAAGGACTTTGTTTGTTACCTGCAACATGTAAGAGAAGAGAAGACTTGATGGCGCCATGATTAAGCACTCAAACACTAACCATAAGGTCAGAGTCCCCACCTACGAAACACTTGCTGGGTAAGAGATGTAGCGTCTGCTTCTGTAAAGATGACAGCCTTGGAAACCCTAAGGAGCAGCCCTACACTGACCTACAGGGCACAAGCTGGGATCACTTGACTCAAATATTTTATGGTACACACAAGGAAGATTGACAACTTCATGGGAAAACAGAATTAAAAGATAATGGAACTTTCCCATAAACTTTTTGATGCTTCCACATAAAATTTTGCAACCAACATAAAAAATAATGATCCTAAGCCTTCAAGCCCCAAACACCAATTCCTTGAGGTGTTTAGTTATGTATAATAACTACCTATATCTGTACTCCCATGTACTTTTTTTTTTTAACATTTTATTAGGGGCTCATACAACTGTTATCCCAATCCATACACACATCAATTGTGTAAAGCGCATTTGTACATCGTTTCTCAAAACATTTTCTCTCCATTTAAACCCCCGACATTAGGTCCTCATTTTTCGCCGCCCTCCCCGCTCCCCCCTCCCGCATGAGCCCTTGATAGTTTATAAATGGGTATTTTGTCATATCTTGCCCTGTTCGACGTCTCCCTTCATCCACTTTTCAGTTGTCTGTCCCCCAGGGAGGATGTCACACACAGTTCCATGTAATCGGTTCCCTCTTCCCTACCCATTCTCCCTTTACCCTCCCTGTTTTGTCACTCACACCACTGGCCCTATAGGGCTCATCCGTCCTGGATTCCCTGTATTTTCAGTTCCTATCTGTACCAGTGTACCTCCTCTGGTCTAGCCAGTCTTGCAAGATAGAATTCGAGTCATGGTGGTGGGAGCGGGGAGGAGACCTTTAGGAACTAGAGGAAGGTTGTATTTCTCATCGTTACATCGCACCGTGACTGGCTCATCTCCTCCCCTAGACCCCTCTGCAAGGGGATCTCCAGTGGCCTACTAATGGGCTTTGGGTCTCCACTCCGCACTCCCCCCATCATTCACTATGGTAAGATTTTTGGTTCTGATGATGCCTTATACCTGATCCCTTCGACACCTCGTGATCGCATAGGCTGGTGTGCTTCTTCCATGTGGGCTTTGTTGCTTCTGAGCTTGATGGCCGCTTGATTACCTTCAAGCCTTTAAGACCCCAGATGCTACACTTTTTGATAGCCAGGCACCATCAGCTTTCTTCACCACATTTGCTTATTCACCCGCTTTGTCTTCAGAGGTTGTGTAGGGAAGGTGAGCATCATAGAATGCCAATTTACTAGAAGAAAGTATTCTTGTGTTGAGGGAGTACTTGAGTGGAGGCCCAATGTCCTTCTGCTACCTTAAACCTATAAATGTAGGCTCATAGATCTATTTCCCCATCCTCATATAATATATTTGCATATGTACATGCCTTTATCTAGAGCTCTATAAATGCCCTTTTCCTCCCAGTTCTTTCCTCTATTTCCCTTGATTCTCCTCCTGTCCCGCTATCATGCTCAGTCCCCACCAGGATTTCAGCACTCCCATGTTCTTTATTCTGTGTATGTGAATATATATGTAAATACAAACAACATACCATATACACTCGAGTATAAGCCAACCCAATTATAAGCCAAGGCACCTAATTTTACCACAAAAACTGCATTAAAAATGAGTTGAAAAAACTCAGCTTATACACGAGTATATATGGTACACACACACACACATATATATATATATACTCACATGTTTTTTAGTTGTTGCTGCAAAATATGATGATCAATTCAGTCAACTGACATAATACATTCCATAAAACTTATATTCACAACCTAGTTTACTGAGTATAATCTGTATTCTTAAAAGTGTGTGAGTTTGATCATCACAAAGATATAATTAATCACTGGTATCTACTTCTCCAGAGAAAAAGGAAAGGAAGGAAGGAAGGAAACTGGAAATGGCAGGTCACATCTGGCTTCCTCTGGTTATGCAAGGGAGAAGAACCAATTATAAAGAGATTATAGTGATAGGACCATATTTATTGACTACATCTCAGGCTCCCCCACTGGCTCTCTGGCTATTAACTCATTCATACTTGAGGCATTGATTTCTCCTTTCTTTCAATTATACATTCTAGAATTTATACATTCACCATTAACTGTTCACAAACACACAAGAATCATACAATTCCATTAACATCTTCACCAGACCCATCAGAAAAAGAGAAAACTATTCAGTGGGGATACTCCCTTGTTCCACTTAAATACCAAACACACCCACGAAAGCTTATAAGCCAACCATTTCATTCTTTTATCATTCCCTGTTTTATAGATATCCAATTCCTAAATTACTCATTCCTATCAATCTAGTACTCTTCAAGAGACAAGCCATATTCCTTTATATGAAAAATCTCCATTGCTGTTGGAACTGGAATATCTTACATCCATAAGCAAAGTCCAGTCTAGAGCAGGTCATCCATCAAAATATCTTTCACTTCATCTGTTTGAGTTCTGGTCAACTCAGCCATAACCATATGCCAGGTCAGATGGGGTGCTACCAGCAGCAAGCACAGAAGTTCTCACGAACCTCCCTGAACCATCTGGCCCTTTCACAAACGTTCATTAGCCCTAGCTCCCTAGGGCTAGGTCAGACCATAGGCCAGTAGACACACTTTGCCTGCCCCAGTATACACACCTGATAAGAGTATAACTCTTGTGGGAAGGGTGGGGTGGGGTGGGGTGAGAGAGCTTATAACAAGACCTTAAATAGAAAGTAAATGTTTATAAAATGATGGCAACATATGTAGAAATATGCTTGATATAATTGATATATGCATTGTTTTAAGAACTGTAAGAGCCCAAAATAAAATAATTATAAAAAAAAGAGGATACCTCTTTAAACTTCAAATCAGGCAGCCCTTCTTCCCCTCTCTCATTTTTAGCCTCTGTATATGAGTGCTAATGGAACGTGTCCATACTCAAAACGGTTCTTCGCTTCACCTGATTTTTCCCACTGGCACTCCACAAATGAATACAGCTGGTCATAGAATGGGCACTATAGTGTTCTAGTCTTGGTATATCCAATATATACCACATGCTCAAAATTTAAAAAGCTTAACAGTCCACATGAATGTGTCATGCAACATTAAGTAGAAGAAACAAGTATCTGCAGTATAGTTAGCTAAATCATCCTAAACACAATCCTTAAAAAAAAAAAAATTCAAGTTCACCGCTCTCTTCTCGACAGTATAGACTATCCCGTTCATATGCATATGGTACTGGACCATTGGCAGGGTGAATCTTTCTATAAGGTATCTTGTTTATAAACAGCCAAGCTTTAAAAAAATTTTTTTATTAATCATTTTACTGGGGACTCATACAACTCATCATAATACATACATACATGAATTGTGTAAAGCACATTTCTACATTCATTGCCCTCATCATTCTCAAAACATTTGCTCTCCACTTAAGGCCTTGGCATCAGGTCCTCATTTTCCCCCTCCCTCCCCGCTCCCCCCTCCCTCATGAACCCTTGATAATTTGCAAATTATTATTTTGTCATATCTTGCCCTGTCCGACGTCTCCCTGGCTTTCTGCTGTCCGTCCCCCAGGGAGGAGGTCATGTGTAGATCCTTGTAATCGATTCCCCCTTTCCAACCCACCCTCCCTCCACCCTATCAGCCCAGCTTTTGTTTAAAAAGATACTCCGAAAGGTAAAGCCACCCTGTCCTTTACCATAACAAAGAACTCCAAATGAGATTATGACTACAGGCATAGAAGCTAACATTTACATCACATACAGAATTATGGCTAGAACAGCTATATTGACTACATCTCAGAAACAAAACAGTTAAGAGCAGAAACAGCCTGCATGATTATGTGAACCATAGCTTCGTCTACCCTAAAACCAGAAGGAAAAGATGGTGCTCAGATACCATGGCCAACTGTTCTGATCATGGCTATAGTAAAAAGATCCTGATACAATGGATAGTTGAGGTCAAATTATTGGCGGGAGAAATGACTGTTTCTGAGACACCATCCACCATGGTTCTGGCTCCATATCCTTACGCCAGTCTTGTGGGGCAGCTGTTCACACTAGCATACAATGGAGAAGCCGCCGCTAGAGGAGAAAGCTGCCTCTGCGTGGACACCAGGGAAGGCAGACAGCTGCAGGCCACCAGTGCCACAGAGGCAAGCACGTAAAAGGACCATACAACCCTGCAGCTCAGGCTAAGAGCATAACAACAACTCTTGGAATATAAATCAATGATTGATGCAGATGAAGAAGAAATTCCAGATGAAATTATACAATAAGAGCAAATTGATGCTAAAATTGAAGGCCTGTGAAGTGAAATTCAAGGGCAAAATTACATTTGAAAGGAACTCTTGCTTAACCCAGGTTAAAACTTTCAGCTGCACTTGAAAATATCAACATCACAGCAGGGGTCTTGGGACTTAAGAGGAAAAACTGCTTGATGTTAGAAAAATGAGATAGACTATAATTAAAACAGCCTCCAAAGAGTAAGCTTTTAGAAACAGAAACTGAAAAAAAAAATTTGGACAGTACGGAAATTCGAGTCAGATAAAGGACATATGACAAAACCTACAGCAGGATATACAAATTTACTAGTTATTCAACACATGCTCCAGAACCTCATTTTGCTGAGTAAAGTCAACTAGGCAGAGGATCCTGCCTTGTTTTGAAGCTTGAAAATAATCTCACCATGCTCTTATAAGACTTACTACTTTAGCATTTTAAAAGCTTTGATATACCATCTACGTACCATATTTCAAGTAAAAATGTATTTTTAGTGGTTTTAGAACTGTTCTATACTGCAACAGTAAAACATTGTTTTTGAATTTTCACTACAAAATGGCATCTACTGTTTTGAGGCTAACTAACTTGAATGGGAAACTCTAAAAAGAATCTGAAAACCGTGGGAGAGTACCAGGAGACTTCCTGGTCCAGCTCGGCTTTCCACTGAGTGCCGCACTATGTTCTATAATATTTCTGGCAGTCTTGAGTCTTATTTTGAATATTCCTGTTTGTCTAGCAAAAATATTAAAATTTTAGAAAAAGATGTAAATTACGTAGTGTTAACAACTGTAATTACTTCTGGTGGAATTATTAGTGACTTTAAATTTTAATAATTTATTTATTTACTTTAGCACCCACTACTTTTGATTTGCATTTCCCTGATGACTACTGATGCGAGGATCTTTTCATGTACTTACTGGTCATTTGTTTTATCTCCCTTGGAGGATTGTCTGCTCAGAACCTATGCCCACCCAACCCCCCCCCCCCACCTTTAGTAAGTATAAAAGTTCTTTACATATTTAAGTAGGAACATTTTCCGTTTTGGTGAACCTACTGGTTTTTGACAAAGGTACAAAAGCAAATCTTTTTTTTTTTAATCGTTTTATTGGGGGCTCCTACAACTCTTATCACAATCCATATGGTACAAAAACAATTCTATGAAGCACTGGAGCAAATGGGAATCTTTAGGCAAAGAACAAAAAGTACCTTTGTCTAGGCATCACCTTTTATAAAAATATTAACTGGAAATGGATCATGGACTTATATGTAGAACATAAAACTATAAAAGTTTTAAGGATAAGAAAATCTCAACAAAATATTTTGGGTCAACAAAGAGTTCTTTGATTTGATACTTTTCTGCCCACTGATTCACTACCAAGCCAATGCCATATATTCTAGGTTTTTGTTGTGGCAGGTTTCCACGTGCAATGTTCCACATTAGGAGAATGAAACCAAGCAGCTGCAACAACACTCTCCCCCATCCCACGCCCCAGGAAATCTCAGTTTAGCAGGTTAAAGGTTTATTTTTCATTTGTGCAAAGTTCTCTGCAGGTTTGGCAACTCCATTGCACCTTGAAGTGATATAGAGGTCATAGCTTTATTTAGCATAAAAGCATCACTATTGTTCAGGGTCCACTGGCCAGAACCAGTCATATGATCTGATATAAGCCTAGCTTCATTTGAGGCTGGGAATATTTGATTTCTTTCACCCTTGAGTATCCTCTTTACTTATGCTGATATCATAAAATATAAATACATTGCCTTAATCTTACGGTTTTCTGAAAATGTAGCACTGGTTAGGGATTAAATTTTATCTTCCCAAATATGTACTGAATCCCAGTGCCTGTGGATGTATTCTCTTTGGGGAATAGGGTTTTCTTTGTTAAATTAATGAGACTATATCAGTGTAAAGTGTGTCCTAAGCCTAATCACTACTGAGTGCCAATGTACAAAACCCCCTACAAAGAGTGGACAGAGTGCAAATGGGGAAAGATGGATGCCATGGGAAGATCAAAGGAGGAGGACAGGAACATAAAAGTTGTGATAAACATTATCTCTGAGTGTTCCCCTATAACTGGTGCCTTACATTTGGATTTCTAGCCTTCTAAACTGAAAATTAAATTTCTGTTCATTAAAAAACAACAATTTGAAAAAGAACCTCACATTCTTTAAAAAATTATTTTTAAAATCTAGATTTACTAGATTTGTTGAAATTGGAGGACTCCCCAAGATTACTGTCCTTAGATAATCTTTAAACTTTGAACCAAAACATCTCCTTAGGTCATCTTTTAGCTAAATACCAGATTGAATAACAGAATAAAGAATATCTTGAGCACTATGCTTCTTTAAAAATCATCAATATGAGATCAAATGGCCAACAGTTGTTTTGAAAACAAAGTTACGCCAAAACCACAGCCATTCAATCTATTCTGACTTAAAAGCTACTCTTAATGACAAAGTGAAGTCCTGGCAGATTACCTATTAGGCAAAGTAAACGGTTTAAATCTACCAGCTGTTCTGTAAGAGAAAGGTGAGTCTATCGGCTTTATAAAAGATTTACGGTCTTAGAAACTCAGAGGAGCTGTGGATTTGTTTTTAGTAAGATGAATCCCATACAGTTTTTAAAGTAGTACATTTTTATAGAAACAGACTGTCATTTCTCTGGTAGTGTGGTTGGTGAGTTAAAATCACTGACCTACATAGAGGTAGGTTGGCAAATGAGCGCTTTAACCATATGCCACTAGAGCTCCTTGAGAAGCAGATAAAGGGCAAAGAGAAAGCAGATACTGGAAATGGAACAACCACAATAAAAATAATAAGCATGTTCATGCCTTGTGAAGGATATAACCAATTTCACTGAAAAATTTGTGTAGAAATTATTAAATAGAAACAAATATAAGAAAAACAACCCCACCCTCCCAAAAAATTTCCTGCTGTATACACATTCACCAAGAACACTGAAAAAGAGTTACCAGAATAAACTTTTCTCCTAGTATAGTGTAGATTTAACATACGCACTTACACATCTGAAAACTCCACTTGTAAACTTTCGGTAATCTATTACTTGGTTCCCTTAAATCAGGATCCTTATCACCATTCTTTCCACATTTTCCCGGAGATTGAGTCCTTGCCGGAGATTTGGTGCTATGAGATTTCATTCCAGTGGAGACTGATTTGATTGACTGAGTTTTAGTTGCACTTTCACCAGCGGAGAGCTCTTCACTATCACTACTGTTTGCTACATTAAAATAAAACAAAACAAAATAAAATAAAAGCATTAACAAACATCAGAAATGCAGAAAGAATTTTGACCACACATTCTTTGGGCCAAAAGTCTAAATTAATCATTTGAATTTATTATTGAACAATTTTCTTTTTAGATCCTGTCTAGAAACCTGGAAATCCATTACTTACAAATACAGCAACATTTCAGTTGTAAATAAGAATGTATACCTGGACTGCCAATCCTAAAACTGGGGGAGGGGGAAATCACTTAAGCCAATCTTGTTTTTTACTTATTAAACTGTCACTTTGATCACAAATGATGTACAGTCATTACATGTTTAATAAAATATTATTGGGGAATTTTTCATTTTAAAATTACATTTAAACCCTGAATGTAATTTATTCCTAACTGCCATAGCATACCTCGTTAACTAAAATACAGTTTTGATCCTGGTAAACATATTCAGTAATTTAAAAAGAATTCACGTGTGTGTATAACAACAAAATTATTTTATACTTGCCCCAGCTAAATAAGTTTCAGTATAATACAATAGAAAATTTGAGCTTACCATGTGAGTATGTGATAGGATTGGTATTTCTCAAATTTATCTCTTTTGGATATAGAATATTATTTTAGATTTCATAAGAGTTAATTCTCTTTACTACATTATTCTGAGAATGGTATAAACTCAATAATTAAAATGAGAATATACAATCAACTATTGTACTTCTAAATTATATGGATATATTAATTGACTTGTTGAAGGTAAACCTTCCTTATTAAATGATATTTAGATAAAGTATTTAAGATTAAAACATTACAGTATGTCACTTTAAATGTCCTTTTAGTTAAACCAAGTAATTGACAATAAATTTGGTAGATATTTACAGATTCTTCATAAAAGTTGTATCAATTAGCAAAGTGTAGATACCAACTCTTCCCACTATGGTGTTTAAGGTACAAAGAAACTCCCACCGTTCTGTCTCACATATCCGAAATGTCTCCCTTCCCAGTACCCCCAAACCTGCTCTGAAATCTCTGGTAATTCCTAGCTAAGCTAACCAAGGTTTGACCCCACTATGATGCAATAGTCTGCCTCAGCCTGGTGTGCACGGCCCTCAGAGCACAGCCGCCCGGGGCCCCGAAGGATGCCATATTCACCGCCTGGAAGTCATATGGGCTCAGCAGAACCTCGGGGAGCTGGCTGAATAACCTTTTCTGCACTGAAGTGCAGCCAAGCAGGCTGATAGCAAAGGTCAGGCAGTGGAGGTGGCAGGAGTCTCCTGGAAGAGCAGCAGGAGGTCATTGTGGGGCACCTGAAAAAAAATTCTTTACATATTTTCTGCTTCCAATTTTGTGTCTACGAGATAGTATATGTAGCTCTCATGGGGAAATACAGTCTATGTATCTATGTAGATCGATGAACAGAGTAAGTGTTAACAGTCTTTATTTGGAGAATGAGATAGAACCAAACGTTGGAGCAGCTGGTGGGTTTGAACTGCTGACATTGTGGTTGATCGCCCAACATTTAACCCACAGCACCATCAGGGCTTAATTAGCTAAAATTATTTGTAGCTGCTCTCAGGACACATAGTTCAGGCTACCAAAAATAAAGGAAGAAAGCTGAAAGTGTTAGAATTAAAATTCTAAAAGTATCTGGATTACTTTCTTCTAGGTTGATTTGTCCATGAAGAATCACAAATCAATAAAAAGGATTTACAATTGAAAAGCATTTTAAAATGTGACAAAGATAATGGCAAATAGATAAAACTATGTAACACAAAGGAAACATAAATGTTGATGGATTTTTATTGCAAGAAGGACTACCTGGTTATTCATCACTAGTCAATACCATTGTTGAATATCACCAAATTGCTTAATTGTAGTATTTATACCTAGGATCAGAAGACTTTGTGTAACTTTTTTGGAGGGAGATCAAAATATTAAACTATACCATATATCTAATACCCTCATTTAAAGTGGAAAAAAGAGAGCAAGTCAAATAGTATTGCTGCGAGGATTCCAGTTCATATTATGCAGTAGGCTATTCCAAACAAAATATGTTAAACACATCTCTCTGATCAGGGCATGCCTAAAGACAAGTTTTCTCAGTAATACACGTTTCTTTCTCCTTAGGGTGCTTTCCCTGACCAAAAACAGGTCAGCCCAAAAGGTCAGCAGAAACCGTGGTGGAGGAGAGGGGAATTCTAGGTATAATCTTGATAGATTTTCTAAAAAGACAAGATGTCCAAGAAGGTGAGTAAAAGTCCAGTTAAGTTACACTGAGGAAATGTTACCCACAATATTGCACCTGATCATTTTTTGAGTTAGCAAGGGCTATCTTACAAGAATTTCTGTGGGAAACCTTACTCCATTCATTCTACTTATGTAATCTACATCCTTCAGACTAAATTTTATTCCCCAAACATAAAGAATATTGAAAAGGAACAAGATATGAGGGGCTGTAAATCTAGAAAAATCAAAGTGCACAGAATACTTCCTGAAGGGTTCTTATATTTCCCACTGCTGTCCAGTTGATTCCAGCTCATAAGGGCCCTCCCTGCAGGACAGAGAACTACACCACAGTGTCTCTAAGAATGTAAATCCTTACGGGAGCAGACATACTTCTCTGTCTCTCACAGAGTGGCTTAGCACTATGTCACTAGGGCTCTTTCAGAATAACTTTAGAAAGATGAAAACAACACTTTTCAGAAGTGTTAAAACGTAAGTGGAGGATATGTCCAAAAATAATAGCTTCATTTTTTTGAAAATTCTGTTTAATAAAGGACCTATAATTTTGTAGCAATATTGTTTGACTTACCCTGTGTACATATCAGTTTTTATTTTTATATTTTAAAAATTAAAGGTTTCCCACTTACTGCCTTTTCCCTTCTTTTTGTTGTTTACTACTGAAGCTTTATGGCTTCTTTTCTGCTTTTTTGATGAATTTCCTCCACTCTGAGCGTCTTTCACTCTTTTCTGACCTGTACAGACTACGATGGGAAAAAAAATTAGGAAACAAAATAAAAATCAAGCCTTTCCTAGGCATAAATTTATTCCATGTTTTAAAAGCACAGAAGTAATTTAGAATAATTTCAAAATTGCACATGTTTTTAATAAGGCTTATAAACTATCATAGAAATTACCATGAACATTTAAAAATCAATTATTAATACAGTGGAATTAAACAAAAAATGAGTTTAAAAAAATCTAATAAAGTATGTACATAGTTTTAAAAATACATAGATATAATAAACTGAAATTAACTTTCAATGAAGTACTAAGAATGAGTTTAGTAATTAAAAAACAGGCTTATGCTGAAAATAAAATTTGAAAGCTGTTACATTCAATAAAATTAGAGTATTAACATTTAATTACAGGTTAAAATATTAATATTATAATGACACTAATATAATGTTTAAATTATATAATGGTATTGTGATCAATTTTAGTGGTAATTCACACATGGTTATTTTTACCAAATATGTATTTCAATAATAACTTAACTCCCAGGGCACTGGTTATCACACATACACCATATACAAATCCAGTATTGTAGTTGATCTTCATGGTAGGAACATTTTCAAAACATTACAGATGTTTTCCTTTTTTCAAGGACTAGCCCAAGTCTTACATATTCACTAAGAACTTCTCTGATGTTCCAAGCTTTTGTTAATGAATCACTACTCTGAACTGTAGCAAATTTATCTGTATTATTTCTTTTGCAGCTTCTAAGTATCTACAGAAGCCCTTGTAGCATAGTGGTTATGATATTGGCTACAATCCAAAAGGTTAGCAGTTCAAAACCACCAGCTGCTCCTCGGAAGAAAAATGGGTCTTTCTCCTTCAGTAAAGTTATTCTCAACACAAATAATAATATTATATTGATCAAGGATTCACGAGGTGGGAGGGTGTGTGAGGGAAGGGAAAAAAAGAACAGCTGATACCAGGAGCTCAAGTAGAAAGAAAATGTTTTGGAAATGTTGATGGCAACTTATGTACAAGTGTGCTTAATACAACTGAATGATGGATTGTTGTAAAATTTGTAATATCCCCCGAATAAAATGATTCATTAAAAAATAAAGTTAACCTTAGAAACTCTCAGGAGTTTTAGTCTGACCTATATATGGGCCACTGTGAGTTGGCATTCACGTGACGGCCGTGAGTTTGTTTTTGGCCATGTACCTCCAATTTTCTGATCACATGTATTATTTCCAGAAAACAGTAAAAGTTCTTTATTCAGACAATAGCAAAGTATTATATTTGATTCCAATGAAAATACTGTCATTACATGTTAACATTATGATAAAATTATGCCACATTTGCTAAAAAAAGAAAAATAAAAGGTTGTTTTTTGAGCCTGTTACGAATGCTAAATGCAATCCTGAGTATATATGGCATGCCTTCCTTGGTCAAAAATTTAGGCACGTGACCCATTTTTGAAACTTTCCAAAACAGTGGTTTTGTTTTTCTATTGTTTTAAAATAAATCAGGTTACTTATCATTTTTACCTAATGCTATTTTATTAGAACCTAAGTAGATGAAAACACACACACATATAATCTTTAATAATTTATATATGCTAGAATGAAGGAAAACTAAATTTAAAAAGTGTATTTACATTTTTATCTCACATAATACAGTAGTTGTCGTTAGATGCTGAGTTGGTTCAAATACTTAGCGATCCAGTGCCCAATGGTATGAAATAATCCAGTCTGCACCATCTTCACAATTATTCCTATGACTGAGCTCATTGTTACAGCCACTCTATCAATCCATCTCATTTCCAATACTAATAAATTTACTGAGACTATTGGAACTCAGAGTTTAAGAATTTATTCCACTTTGCCTCAAGAGAGCTTGGCTGGCCCTTTCCATGGTTTGTCTGGAGGGTCCTCTTACTCTACTGGTCTTAGTACATTTCAGAATGGATGACCTTGGCTCATCCTCTCAATGGCACCAAACCCTTGGTGGTTTCTTGGGAATACGAGGCTCCATATGTATGGGTAGGAAGGCCTGGTTACAAGAGGGTAAAAGTGCACACTGCCTAGAGGGTAAAAATGCACAATGCCTACTGGGTTCTCCCACATGACTTTTGCCCAAGCATTTACAGCTGTGAAGCCCTGCCTCACTATATCCAGAGAGTTCCTTCAATGTCATGAAGGCCAAGCTCAGCCTCTGCCCTTGACCTTAAATTGCAACTGCCACAGATTATTCACTCACTAACCCCACTGCTGCCCACATAGCCTGCCCAGTGTAAGGGGCTGAAAATTAAGCTGCTGTGGGATTCTGTCAGCCCCAGGGAGGCCCTGTCCCTGATGCTCTTTGAGACTAGCAGTTGGGGTCAGCCACTGGGGTCTCATTTTCGTCCTAGGACAGAGGTGATCCACTTTAAGGATAGTAGCTGCCTTCTTTAGGCACCCAGGACCCATCAAGCAGTTTCCCATTCCTGTCTGTTAGCCTTCCTCTAGCCCCCTTCCATTCTGTGAGACACAATATTGGCTAGCGGAGACAGTACACCCACTCTCCCAGCCACAGATGATGAAATATTGTAGAAGATTCATTTCTATATGCACTGGGGGTAGGGGGGTGGAGGGGGAATTACTGGTTAGGGACCCTGTCAAGGACTTTGCTGTTTGTTATTGACAGATATGTTCTGCTAGTAAGCAAGTCGTTTTTATGATTGTAATATATGTGAAATGTCAGATAAGGTAGTAATAAGTAAAAAGTAGAAAATAATTTGCTCTGATAGAATAGATCATCTGTTCTCTGAATCTTTGAATGGCTCTCCATTTCTATACTTTTTAACCCAGTCAAAATTAAAATCCAAAATGGCAGACTTACTGAATTGATCAAGACATGATACTGTATGTATCTCTCTCTCTACACACACACACACACCCACCCACCCACCCATAGTATTTAAATCTTTCTTAGGATATGAATAACATGGTAAGGACATAGCCTTTTCAGAATTATTATTAAAACTGTATAGTACTTTTGTTGGAAGTGTCTCAAAATTTCTGTCATAAAGAATTCTTTTACTATAATCACTCATGGGACCTGAAGTCCCATGAAAGAGTATGAAACACTAATATAGTAGTTGGAAGTGTGAATGTAGAAAAACACAAAGAACATAGCAATTTATTGTAACTACTTTTTTACTAATTTACTTTAAAAAATGTTTTAAGTCGATTTGTGTGAGAAAACTTAGAATCTAGATAAAATCTCCTCAAACTTAACTTAAAAATCCGAATCTAGCACATTTAAACTCAATGATATAAAATACAAACCCTATTTTCACATATTGAAAATAATGTGTTCCAAACCAAGTGTCAGCCTTTCATAAGTTGATTTAAAGATATATGAACCAAGTGGTTTATAAGAAAAATGATAGAACTATAGCTATGTCACCAACAAAGGGTTTCGACAAGTACTAATTTGAATTTCCACTTTTAACAACTTCACGGAAAATCAAAAAAGTTTTACTATAGGCTATTAACATACACATTGGTCCTTCAATTTGGAAGCTATGAATCTAAGAAAGCATCAAATTCCTTTACAAACTCACACAAGTTAGTCAGGCTTGAAAATCAGTTTGACACGGATGTCTGAGGAAAGCAGTGCCTGGCCAGTTGGTTGCTCCAAACCCCTACATACAGTATTTGGTTAAGGGTGGAGGGGTCTGTCAATAAATCAAAATGTTTGTGAGAAACTGCACATTATAATCGCAAAAACAATGTTACAGAAATATACTTAAGCTGCTCATGCCATATAGCCAACCAGTGTATAATGAATTTTCAAATAGGCTTGGATTTGAACTTGGGTGCAATTTCTATGCTGTGTCCTGGTACACTATGAAATGTCATGGATGGCTCAAACTTACATTAAAGTCTTCTTAAACTTTTAAATGCATTCTACTGATCATTACTCATATTACCTTAAAATTTTTTTTTAAACAATGTTCACACAAGTAGATCACATATGTGTCTCATGTTATAAGAGATACTGTAAAACCATTCAATTTAAAGGGGAAATTCTAAAAAATTAGTCAACATACACTGTTTCCTCCTCACCTTTTTCAGGATGTTCTGGTTCTGGCTGATTACTACTGCTGGAGCTCACACTTGCATCAAAGCCTGTTGGGGAGCTATTCCCTTCAGACTGGAGGTCTTGGAGCTCCCCTGTAACACTATCCACCTCAATTGTGCTGTCAGTTTCACTCTTGATACTTCGAACTTCTTCTTGGTTTGGAGCCAATGTTTCTGATACTGTTAAAGAAGACTGTTGCCGACTGGCTTCAGTTACAGTGACTGATGAAGGCGATTCTGGTGTGGTAGGTGGGGTATTGAGCACTGAATTACTGCCACTACTTGGAAACTCTGCCTTTTTGTCATTGACTTCCACTGTTTTATCCTCAAGGGATTTAATACCGACACTTACAGGGAGGGGTGTTTCTAGCTCTTCAGTGGGTGGACAACTCTCTTCTTCTGCTACAGTCTGCAATGACTCTTCTGCTACTGCCTCCTCTGGGGAAGGGTGTGGGGGTGAAGCCGCAGCCTCAGTATCAGAGTCAGAAAAAAGTTCCTTTAATGTTTTTTTAGGCCACTGTCCTTGTATACTTGACCAGACATCTTTTCGATCTTTAGCTCTGCTGTTTTGAAGTCTTTCATCAGAGTTGTTTAAAAGTTTTATCCGTTTTTCTGCCACTTCTGAAAATCCTGAATAGAAACCAGTTGACCTTAGAGATTTTCTTTTTTCCTCCAACCCATTGTACTTCTTCGTTGGTGTCATCTTTGCTTTTGATTTTTCTTCTTCTTCATCTGAGGAGCTATTGCTACTGTTTTCTATGCAAAGTGATTCTTTGTTTTTGAGCCTCTCTTCCTTTTTGCCAGGTGATCCAGTTTTCAAACATTCCTCTGTATTGCAATACCTCCTTTTACCGCGTTTCACCTGTGGTTTTGAAGCTTTATCTGTGCTGTCCTTCTTGACATCTTTTCTCTTTTTTGTGACTTCATCCTCTTCTTCAAAATCTGTATCTTCAGATAATCCTTCCATATCTTTTCTTAACCTTTCTGGAGACTTTGAAACAGATTTAGGAATTACCAATTCTACCTGGAATTTATTTTCTTCAAGCAAAGAACTGTTCTGTTCCTCTTTTGAAATAAGATCATTTCTGTTGTGGGTTAACTGATCAGTCTTAGATTCTTCTTTACTATTATCTAAGTCTTGAGCACTTGTCTCATCTTCCTGCTCACTGTCTTCAGCAGAACTCTCAGAAGCTAGAAAATAGAAAGAAAAATTAAATGTTTGAAAAACAACAGCAATGTTTCCTTTGTTTATAGCTATCCCTTATTTGCTAGGTTTTATTGATAAAAAACAAACTAGGCTTTAGAGACGCTATGGTACTCAAGAATGGGAATATTCTGTATCATGACTGTCACAGTGTTTCTACTACTACATACTGTTTGCCAAAAGTCACCCAGTTGTACACATAAAAATGGTGAATTTTACTGTATGGAAGTTATATTTTAACAAAGCTGATTAAAAAAAAAAAAGTAAGAAAGCCCATCAAGATTTATGACTAAGAAGTAGTGATGTCAACATGTGTAATACCAAGTTGTTCTAAATAACAAATCTGTAATGTATAAAATTGTATCCTTCATAATAATGACAATTCAAATATTTTATCAAAATGGATTATAATGTATTTTAAAGAAGGAATAAAATTAAGTAACTGATTCCTAATAAAAATATTTGTTAATTTTACCAAATCAACCATAAAAAATTTTTATTACTATTTTTAGACAGCATTCATTGAGAATTATTACATTTGAGGTACTTTTTTAGCTTTGCACACAGATTATCTTATTCAATTCTTGCAAACACACGAATGAGAAAAATGTTACCATTAGCTTTATATTACATTTCAGGAGTATGATATTGAAAGATTAAAGCTTTAGTACCAAAGAGCTGGTAAAAGTCAAGATAAGAAGATCCAAACCTAATCATTTTATTTCACAAATTAGCATTTTAATTGCAATAATATGTTCAATAATCCATGGATATTTTTAGCTGTTTATTACACGTACAAAAATGTTTTAACCATTTAATATTGTCAATGTGTTCTTCTATGACAAAATTTTATAAAATTATCAAAGCAGTGTACATAAAAACAATTTTAGATTCATAATAAACCCAACTCACTTTCTTCTGCCACCCAGCCGCAAAAAGCAACTACAGTATAATAATACCTCAGTTGTTGAACTCTATTTGTTCCAAATTCGTGTTCTAACGCTGAAAAGTTTGAGAAATAAACACATTTCCCGTAAGAAATAATGGAAAACCAAATAATTAGTTCTGAGGCCTAAAAGTTATACTTCAAAAAGAAAAAAACCCTCAATTTCCCCAGGACTTTAAATCACTATGGAGGAGTTTAGTCTTCTCATATATTACTATTTCAGGTCCACTATAGCCAGCGAGTTGTTTATGATTTATCTAAATTAACTAACCTTTCAACCACTTCGATGATCTGCTTTGTTTCATGGTTAAGGATTTCATACCTTTGGGGACATTAGTCATTTCTTTAATCACATTCCCCCCACCTCTACCCCCACCCTCACACACACAAAAAGTTGTAACATCGACTTAAGCTATGGTGTATTCAGCCAAACAAATCTGGTAAGTGGCAAACAAATTCAAATTCGCAATAATTTCTTTAACTCTGTCGTGGTTCTCATAGTTTTCCTCTTAGCTACACGGTATCACTTACTTTCCTTGGAGCCATGGTTATGGTGTTTTATGTAAATAAAATGCAAAAAAAAAGAACAATGTGAAATATTTTAATGCACTAACACTAGCACTATCTGAGGGGGTACCCCCCCCCACCACCAAAAAAAGAACCAGAATTGTGCTGGGCAGAGAGGAGGTTTCATAGTAAGTATATTTCACACGAGGAAAGCATCTAACAATTCGCTCTGAGTTAGTGTACCCACTGGTATCCTGGGAAGGTTCTTTCTGGTCACAGTGAATTTTTTTGCAATAGCAGTTTTGCTTAAACCTTTGGACTTACAGATTTAAGAGAACAGTATTGGGCTGTGAAATTTCGTTTCCTGCTGGGTCAGGGGGAGAATACTGCAGAAACTGTTGTGATGCTGAACACAGCTTACAAGGACAGAAGCACTATGGTAAAAACTCAAGGTTAAAAAAAAAAAACCCACAAAAAACCCCCCTCAAGGTTATGAGTGGTTTACTTGTTTCAAAAAAGATGAAATGCCCATTGATGACAAACCTCATTCTTAGACGTCAACTTCCCAAACAGATGAAAATATCAACTCATAGCATTTGGAGTTCCATTCCATCAGGTCAGACTGTTCATCAAGCTTTATATTTTGAGGTTCTGAAAAGATGATGTAACCGTGTGCAACAAAAATGGTCTGATTTGTGGCAAATGGGGGACTGGTTTTGTCCCCATGGCAATGCACCTATTCATCTATCATCTAAGTGGATTACTTTTTTGGGGGTGGGGGGAGGGGGCAAAAAACAGCTTGCCTCTCTTGCCCAATGCACCTTAGTCATCTGACCTCACTCTTACAGTTTCTTTTTATTTCCACAAATGAAGAGGGACATGAAAGAATAGCAATTTAACAACATAGAAAAAAAACCCAAGGAGGTGCTGTCAGCCATCAAAACAGATGAATTTTTAAAATGCTTCCAAGTTTGGAATTGCAGATTTGACAAATGTATTAAGTGTAATAGAGAGTACTCTGAAGGTGATAAGGGTGTTTTGTAAAAAAATTTAAATACATAGTTTTTTGGTACCCCCCTTGTACGTTGTCTGAGTGAGAGCAGCTCTGTAAGACTGAAGTGAGACCCCTATGTGTTTGCTGTGAGATAGAATGCATATTCACTCTTGGACCTTACCGTTTTTTTTTAAGTTGGATTTTCAGTTCAACTATCAAGCAAAGTTACGAAAATCAAGCAGATTTTTTTTGAACTACGTCATTTGAGTAGTGGAAAGGTTCAAGCTTGAAGCCATTCAACAACTGAGGTATTATTGTATTTTAAAGTTTAACAATTATTTCTTCTGATAGTTTTTGTCACCTTTGAGTAATATAGTATTTATTGTTTAATGAAAAGATTTAGGCTAATATAATGAAGAATTTTCTCTTATCAATAGCCATATCTCCTTAACTCCATTATTTCAATATCTAATTACTTATAGTTAATAGAGTATTTACAACATAAATAAATGTAGTTAATGACAAACTAGGTATAGAGAGCACTTAAGAAAATTTCCATTTTTTTAATTAATACTTTATTTTTTTTAACAGTTCCAATTACTTTTCTTTCATACAATCCTTTTCATACTTGAATTGTTCCATTAAGCATTCTACTGAGTTTTCCCTTTCATCAAACCTCTCTATTCCGGAAAGCTATTTTACACCCCAATGGCCTGATCTGCTCTAAAATGTGTCATCTTGAAAATTCCCTTCAAGTATTCTTGTGAGCTGTCAGAAATAAATCTCATATTGGATTAAATGAAAACTTCTATTTTCTTTCTTGGTTTATTTGTATACTGTGGTTAAATAAAAAAGGCACAAGCTATAGAAATATTTTTTTGTATTTGAATGTTTAAATACATCTTTATCCTAAATTTTTGTTTGTTTGATAACTAGCTATAACATTGTGGATTGAATTTATTTTTCCTTCAGAATTTAAAAGTACTGTTCTTTTGCTTATAATGTTGAAAACACTGTTCTCATTCCTTTGTTTAAATAAATTACTGGTATTTTATATCTTCTTAATAATGTACATTTTACATGGTTCATAGTGACCCTATGTACAACAAGACAAAACGCCATCTGGTCCCATGCAATCCACACAATTTTTTTTTTCTTTTTTCTTCCAAAGTGCCGTCCTTTTCATGCTCAAGAGTGAATGGTGTGTAATTCTTTTTTTTTTTTTTA